TACTCTGATGTATATGGTCCAATCCAGGTGGATTCGATTGGTGGCAATAGATACTTTGTCACGTTTATAGATGATTACAGTCGAAAGCTGTGGACTTACCTCATTAAGAAGAAAAGTGATGTGATTGAGGTATTTTCCAGATTCAAGTCCATGATTGAAAGACAGAGTGGCCAAAAGCTGAAAATTTTGAGGACTGATGGTGGTGGAGAGTATGTGTCGAAAGAGTTCGATACACTATGTGTAAAAGAAGGGATTGTGCATGAGGTGGTGCCACCTTACACTCCACAGCAAAATGGGATGGCGGAACGCAAGAACAGAACCATCATGAATATGGTGAGAAGTATGTTGAATGGAAAGCATCTACCTAAAGAATTATGGGGAGAAGCAGTTTCGACAGTAACATATATATTGAACAGATGTTCGATGAAGAAGCTTGAAGGAATCACACCAGAAGAATGTTGGTCTGGTGTCAAGCCTAGTCTCAGTCACTTGAAGGTGTTTGGATCTATAGCACATAGACATGTGCCAAATCAGTTGAGAAGGAAGCTTGATGATAAGTCGATTCAGATGATCTTGATAGGGTATCATTCGGCAGGAGGGTACAAGATGTTCGACCCGGTGAATAAGCAGGTAGTGATCAGCAGGGACATGATCATAGATGAGCTTAAAGAATGGGATTGGACTGAGAATGCCAAGAAGGATTCAGTGAGAATCTCTTGTGAAGAACCAGCCACTGAGGTCGAAATAGAAGTTCGACAGGAACCAGTTGCAAATGAAGCAGGGTCAAGCAGACCTCGACGAACAAGACACATGCCTGCAAGGTTGCAAGAATGTGTAATTACATCAGATGATGTAGTCGATGAAGAGGGTGAGCTGGTACGCTATGCTTTCTACGCAGATGTCGAATCAGTCAATGCAGCTGAGGAATTGAAAGATTCGAAGTGGATGAAAGCAATGACTGAAGAGTTGGAGTCCATCGAAGTCAATGATACCTGGTCACTTGTCGAATTGCCGCAAGGCAAGAAGGCAATTGATGTGAAGTGGGTTTACAAGGTAAAGGTAAATCCTAAAGGAGAAGTAACTCGACACAAGGCGAGACTTGTGGCGAAAGGATTTCTTCAGAAGGAAGGAATCAACTTCGATGAAGTATTTGCACCTGTTGCTAGAATCGAAACAATCAGGTTGGTTGTTGGTCTAGCAAATATGAACAACTTGCACACATGTCAGATGGCGTGAAGTGTGCATTCCTTAATGGCCCCTTAGATGAAAAAGTTTATGTTGCACAATCAGCTGGGTTTGTGAAACAAGGCGAAGAAAGAAAGGTGTACATGCTTCATAAAGCCCTGTATGGACTTAAGCAAGCTCCAAGAGCTTGGAATAAGAAAATAGACAGCATGTCAGCTATCAACTTGGCGAAGAATCCAATAGCTCATGGTCGAAGCAAGCACATCTAAATGAGGTTCCATTATCTTCGAGAGCAGGTAGCAGAAGGGAAGATGAAGTTGAAACACTGCATAACTGAGAATCAGATTGCAAATATCATGACGAAGGGAGTGCAGGTCGAAGCCTTCAGAAGACTAAGAGCCATGATGAATGTAGACAGTTTAGACACAATGAATTAGGTGGTGTGTTAAATATAATTCATAGTGTAAACAGATTTGATTTGATATGATTAGATTTGATTTGAATATTTTAGGTCTTTTATGTTTTGAGCTTTTGTAAACCTAAAACTATAAATAGGGTGCCTTGCTTTGTATTCAAACATAACATAGAACAGATTTCACAGTTGCAGTTTGAGCAAGTGAAAGTTCTATAAGCAATAAGAAATCCCACAGTTGTGGGTAACACATTCTTTCCAAATATTTCTTCTCTCATTCTTCTCTTTCTTGTTATTCTTTTTTCTCTTTTGTTGTTCTTGATAATTACTTGTTATTACCATTACTATCATATTGTGGGTTTGTTCATCAATCTTGAGATCAAGATTGAAGGAAATTCTTCATAGGGTGTGAGTGAATTTCCAACAATTATTACTCTAACTTTCAGGCTAGAATAATATTTTATTTTCTCATTTTATAAGAACAATTGTGATAGAATCCCTATCACACTTGTCCCAAAGGGACTATTAGTGCTTATAGATCCAACGTTACAGTAAAACATACAATTTTAAACCATACAACTTTACGTTAATATTTACAAAAAAATATAAGAAATATTTATGCCTGAAATATGCTCATATAACCAGTAAGATGCCTTGTATCAAATGCAGTAGTCTCTCCAATGGCATGATATAGAAATGTCATTGCATCACATCCTCACACTCATCTATAAAATCCAAATTCGATGAATAAGAAATGTAACTTGCATTAATATAGACATGCGACTTATCATTCAAAATAATTCATTTAACCATATGCAACATGTATATTATGGTATCCTACTAGTACATAGCATGCTCCGCCAATGATGCATAAGTCTTCTAGAAAAAAGAGAAATTAAAATAAGCACCCTATTAAACTTAAACTCCTCCAGAATGTGTCGTTATGTATTTTTCAAGTATATCTCCGCACTCATAGTTGTCACGTCAACATTCATTAATGGATGGGTGAAAACATTACATGTGTAGGGGAGATGTAATATGGTAAAGACCTTGTCCTCTCCCTAAATGGAATATGAAATGAAATTGTCTCCTTATGTTTTCGCTCCATAAACGCAATTAACAAAGTGGCATCAAACATGGTGCGGAACAAGTTAACATCATTCACTAAACTCATGACCATATAAAGTATCTGCACTACCAAAAATCTCTTAAACTTCAACAATGAGTAGGGGACCATCAACGAAATATGGTCATGTAATAATTAATTCATAAAATATTAATTATTTTAAATTAACCACTAATACACATAAAATCAAATCAAATCAAATCAAAATATTTATATCTCTCTCCTCCATAATCAAAAGACAACATAATCATGATACCTTGTCAACAATATCACGTCAAAGGGTCTTTCTGAAAACGCTTTAAACGTACTCCTTCTATCCCATAATGAGTGATTTATTTTGAATAAAAATGTGTCACAAAATAAATGATTCATTTCAGTTTATAATACACATATTCTAATTTGCTTATTTAGTCCAGAAGTCCCCTAACTTAATTTAATTTTTAGTTTGGTCGCTTATGTAATAAACGTTATAATTTAATCCCTTAACAATCGTTCTGTTAACTAACTTAATCGATTATGTTAATTTGGCAGTGAAAACATTAAGTACACTGATGTTCCATGACAACAAGAATTGGTATGCATTTGTGACTCAACATATTGCATTATATTAACTTTGTAACCTTAATCTTTGTTCAATGTAATATTTTCACGTTAGGGTTACTATTCACCATTTTCTACCTCTATGTTACAGTCCACATCCTCTTCTAATCCCTCTTGTGCCTCTATGTTACAGTTCAGTCCTCTTCTCCCTCTATGTTATAGTTTACTTCCCTCTTCTCCATCATTATTATAGTTCAGTCTCTCATTTCCCTCATCATGTTCAACTACAGTGGTCCCCTATCATGTTCGATTTCAGTGGTCCCCTCATCATGTTCAACTTCAGTGGTCCCCTCATCATGCCAACCTCAGTGGTCCCTTTGTCTCCAGCTTCCATATCATGTATAATATTTGTGGTCCCCTTGTCATTTATTTCTCCTCCTTCCATATCAACTTTAACTTCAATGTTTCCTTCATCTATAACACTCTCAAACTCAGTTAGAAACTTTTCAGTATTGTCTCCTACATTCTCCACACAAGTGGTCCACTCATCAATGTTCTCACTTATCTCAGTTTCAGTGGCACCTACTTCAACATTGTACTCAAGTGATAGTATTGGTTCCTCAATTACATCAGCTTGTAGGATAGGATTCATAACATATAAATGCACTTCCCCACTCAACACAACAATTGTATGCATCCTCATAGTTCCATTGTCATCTTTCAACACCACTATGCTATTACACTCCATTTGATCATAATACCAAAGGCTCTCTATAGTTGGATAACCTAAATCCTTTAACCCACCTAATACTTCGAAGTAACTCCAAAAACCAGGCTCAACATCTCAAGTTTCCTCTAAAGTCATTATAACCTAATTTCGTTAACTCAACAAACTCACTCCCATGATGAATAATGCATTTAAAACGACTATCCATGACCTAGATACAGTAACTACATGAGAAATAAATCTAACGAAGATGAAAAACCCTAAATAAGAAATACAATAAATGAAGTGGAAGTAAATACAATTTGCATTATTCGTACCTTAAAACAGATGATGGACATTGTTCTTCTTTCTCTCATTAAGAAAAATTCCACAAACCCTAAAATGAAGAAGAACAAAAATGTATGAAATGAAACCGAAGATGAACGAAATATCATAAAGTATGATGAACGAAAATGTATGATTAATATACCTTGACGAACGAAGATGAAGGGTGATGATAACTACGCAAACAAAGATGAAGATGGATGTTAGCTTCGTTAGAATTTTTCAACTGAGAGAGTTCAAGTAAAGTCAAAATGAAACAAACTAGGTTAAAATGAAACGTTGCGAATTCATAAATATTTTAATTAAAATGTCTTACCATAAATCCATGTCACCTAAAGAAGCCTAGTTGGACGCCAATTAACACAAACACACACATTTTAACAGAAAGGATGACATTAACTAACGGAGTTACAATTAAGAAATTTGAAACTAACGTTTATTACATAAATGATCAAACTAAAAACTAAAATTAAATTAAAGGATTCAAATAATGAATGAAGGCTTTCCAATTTTATATCAATATCAATATGTGCATGGTTGAACATTATGGAAGTGACACCTCAGCATCTCTGCCTCATCATCATTTCTAGCTTATTGTCCACACATAGGACAGGACAGTATTGATTACATGATCACCGAAAAACACTCCACAACAACATTTCCCATCTCCTTCTTCTTCACTCTCCATGGCCTCACTCATAAGACTCTCCATTTCCCTCGACCCCTTCGATCCAACCTCAATCCCCACCCGCACCATTACCTCCATTTCCAAACCTCACCTTCGTCCTTCCAAAACAGCTTCCCACAACCCCAAAACCGACTCAAAATCACTCAACACCACGCTTCGCGCATTAACCAAGAAACAAGACTGGGAAACCGCAGAGGAACTCGTTCGTCAAATCATCATATCTTCAGATTCTTCCCAACCACTATCCCATGACGTTTTCAACTCACTCATTGACGCTTCTTCAAAACGCGGTTTACTCAAATTAGCTTCCAAATGGTTCCGAATGATGCTCGATTGTGGCGTTACTCCGAACACCACCACGTTCTGGATGTTAATGCGTCTTTACCAGAAGTGTTTGAACGTGGAAGAAGCGGAGTTTGCAATGTCAATGATGAGAAGGTTTGGTGTGGTTTGTGAATCTGCTTACTCTTCTATGATTACTATTTATACGAAATTAGGGTTTTGTGAGAAAGCTGAAAGTGTAATTGAGTTGATGAAATGTGAAGTTAGGGTTTGGAATGTTGAAAATTGGTCGGTGGTTTTGAATTTTTATTGTCAGCAAGGGAAAATGATGGATGCGGAACGGGTTTTCGAAGCAATGCACAAGGAGGCTAGGTGTGAAATGAATATTGTTGTTTATAATACTATGATAACTGGGTATGGGAAGGGGTCGAATATGGATGGCGCGGAGAGTGTGTTTTGGAATTTGAGTATGAGAGGGATTGAGCCGAATGAAAAGAGTTACGCGGCGATGATTGAGGGATGGGGTAGAGGTGGTAATTATGAAAAAGTGAGGTGGTATTATGAGGAGATGAAGAGGTTAGGGTATAAGCCGAGTTCGTCGAATTTGTTTACCATGCTTAAGTTGTATGCGAATGAGGGAGATTTGGATGGTGTGGTTGGGATACTTGATGAAACGGTGAGATGTGGAATTCATTATTCTTCGATAATTGGTACGCTTTTGAGTGTTTATGAGATAGCTGGGAAGGTTCACGAGTTACCGCGTTTGCTAAAAGGTTCGTTTTATCGGTATGTTTTGGTTAATCAAAGCTGTTGTTCCAGTGTGGTTATGGCTTATGTGAAGAACAAGATGGTGGATGATGCAGCTAGAGTGTTGAGGGATAAAAAATGGAAGGATTCGAGGTATGAGGATAATATGTATCATTTATTGATTTGTTCTTGTAAAGAGGAAGGTTTGCTTGAGGATGCTGTTGGAATATATAAGCAGATGCCAAAAAGTGACGAGGACGATAAGCTCAACAAGCACATCATTTGCACGATGATTGACATTTATAGTATGATGGGGAATTTCAATGATGCAGAGATGTTGTATCTCAAGCTGAAGAACTCTTCGTCACATTCGTTTGATGTGATTGCGGTTAGCGTTGCCGTGAGGATGTACGTTCGAGCTGGATCTTTGAAAGACGCTTGTTCTGTTTTGGATGAAATGGACAAGCGACCTGATATTGTTCCGGACATGCTTTTGTTGCGTGATATGTTGTGGATTTATCAGAGATGTAACATGGTCGATAAATTAGCACAAGTGTACTGCAAGATCTCAAAAGATCGGTTGAATTGGGACCAAGAACTTTATATTCGTGTCATAAACTGCTGTGCTCAGGCTCTGCCGATAGACGAGCTTTCCAGGCTTTTCGACGAGATGCTGCAGCGAGGTTTCATGCCCAACACGATAACATACAATGCCATGCTTAATGCTTTTGGTAAAGCGAAGTTTTTCAGGAAGCTAAGGAAGTTGTATTATATGGCTAAGAAACAAGGCCTGGTGGATGTCATTACTTACAATACTATTATAGCTTCTTACGGAAAAAATAGAGACTTCACCAACATGGCAAGAACTGTTCACAATATGCAATCTGAGGGCTTCTCAGTTTCTCTTGAAGTCTACAATTCATTGTTGGATGCTTATGGAAAAGATGGTCTAATCAACGCGTTTAGATCTGTATTGCAAAAGATGAAGGAATCAAATTGTGCTCCTGATCTCTACACATACAACACTATGATCAATATCTACGGTGAACAAGGATGGATTAAAGAAGTCGCCGTTGTGCTCGCAGAGTTGAATGAATGTGGACTTCGTCCTGATTTGTACAGTTATAATTCATTGATCAAGGCATATGGAATTGCAGGAATGGTTCAAGAGGCTGTAGATGTGATCAAGGAAATGAGAAAAAATGGAATAGAGCCTGACCAGAAAACATACACTAATCTTATCGATGCACTGAAGCGAAATGATAAGTTTTTAGAAGCTGTTAAATGGTCGTTATGGTTGAAGCAGTTGCAATTATGAATTTCATAAATCTATTAACATTTTTTATATGGTCTTGGGTTTTATATCCATATACTTTGAAGACTGACCTTTGAGTCCTATTTGAGTATAGTCACTAACCTTTTGCTTCCTATGTACAATTTTTCTGTATATTCTGAGAAATAAGAAGAAAAAATATTCTGTGTTGTTGCAGGAGAAATTCATTTCTGTATTTGTTCTCCATAACCGGTCTTTGTTGTGGTAGAATTTATGACATGGTGATTGTGAATCCAAGTCGAGGTCATGGTTTTTATTGTGTACCTACTTTCATATATTGATCCATATTAATTCTGTGTAAATTGCATTCTCAGTTAAACCTTGCTACCTGAAACTGATGATGAAAGCCTAAATCAGATAATGAAGTTGGTCTGGATTCTATCAAAAGTAAAATTATTTTGCTGGAGACAATTTTTGGATTGCCTGTCAACAAGATCACAGCTATCTAAAAAAGGACATGTGCCCTTGCTTCAACCATGAAGAAGATGTTTCACATCTGATGTTCCAATGTGTAAGCTCCAAGCGTATATGGCAGGAAATCAATGTATGGCTTGATTCTGACCTGATGATGGCAGCAGATAGCAGGGAGAATTTTTTAATATCATTCAACCTTCTCAAAGGCAAGGTAGACAAAAATAAGGAAGCACTTATACAGAGGGACTGTTTGTTAGTGTATATGGAATAAGAGGAATGCAATTAATGTTTAAAAATGATGTGATTTTCAACATAAAACTCTGTTCATGGATGTGGCTGTAATATAGATTTTAAATGTAAATTAAAATGTACATGAATGGTGTAAGCATTCAAAAAAAATATTTGAAAGTGTCTTGATTGTAATGGTGATTTATACTTTGTAAGAATCCGGTATTGTGTACCGGAAATTGTCAAAATTTCTGGTAATTTAAACAAACATTTCGATATGATACCAGAAATTGTTGCACAAACTTTTGCAAATTTGAAAATTAATTTTCAGTATATTGAAAATTTTGCTTGTACTTGAAATTTCTAGTAACATATCAGTAATTAGAAAACATCCTTTATTTGTGCGGTTTGGAGCCGGCAGGGTCATCTACGGATTCGTGTAGCGATTGTACGCAAATCTTTATTACAGACAAAATATGTTTTTTATGTAACAAATTTAAATTTAATATTTTCATGTCCTTGTATGATATTCAGACTATACTTTTTATGTGTTGCAAACGACAAATATTTGAGAGCCGATATAAAGTGTTAGCCTGAGCACAGAATATTGGCAAGCAACATGATATTATAGTTGTGATTGTTCGTTCTGGTACTGCAAATGGTCAGTGAGAGAGGAAAAATAAATTGATTATGGATTGTAAGAAAGGAGAAAATTATAAAAAGAAAAATTCATCTGAAAGCAGTAAATCTTCATAGGACAAATATAGTATGAAAGTGAAATGTCCTTTTAGGTTGAGATCTTCGCCGAGTGGTATTGCTTGGAAGGTGATGGTTAGGTGAGGGTTTCAGAATCATAAACTATCTAAGAATTTAGATGACCATGAATTATTGGGTCGTCTAAAATTTCATGAGAGATAGTTTGTGAATGACATGACGAAGTACAACATGCCTCCACGGTACATGGTTTCTGTCTTAGAAGACAAAGATCCAGAAAACCTCACTAGTGTTACCCAAGTGTATAAAGTTATATCTACATACAATGCGAGCAAGAGAGGTACATTGACGGAAATGAAAATGTTGTTGACTCTTATTCATAGAGAAAAGTATGTGTTAGACAAGAAATAGGGAATACTCAAATGTTGTTGCTGATATATTCTGGACACATCCTGATTCAGTGAAGTTGTTGAATATGTTTCACTTGGTGTTGATTTTTGATTGTACATACAAGATAAATAGGTAATGTGCATCTTGATCATACATTGATATTATTTTGGCATACTTTAATTTATCAGATTTCCGATTATTTTAATTGTAAACATACAGGTACTGGTTACCACTGCTTGAGATTGTTAGCGTTACGTCAACAAAGTTGACATTTTCAGTAGGCTTGGCCTATTTGAAACATAAAAGGGAGGAGAACTTCAAATTGTCATTGGAGAAGCTCAAAGAGTTGTTCTCTTTCGAAAAATTGCTACCGAATATTATGGTGACGGACCGAGAACTTGCGTTGATGAATGCAATTGAAGATGTGTTTCCAAATTCAACACATTTTTTATGTTCGTTCCATATTACAAAAAAACTTTGGCATGAAATGTAAGTAGTATGTTAAATTAGAAAGACATGAACGTGTCATGGGTCTATGGAACAACATCATGTATGCTAATAGAAATACTGAGTATGTCGCACACTTGAAGCACTTTGAGACTGTTTGTGTTGATATTCCTTTGTTTGTTAAGTATGTGATTGAAACATGGTTAACACCTTATAAAGAAAGGTTTCTCGCTGTTTGGACTAACAGAGTCACTCATTTATGGAACACAACAACGAACAGGTACACAAACTTCTTTTTGATGTTATTAATATGCATAATTTATCATGTTGGCACATTATGGCTTAATTATTCTAATTTAGGTGGAGTCTGCTCATTGAAGACTAAAAAACATGCTGACTACAAACCAGGAGATTTATGCCGAAGTTGGGATGTTGTGAACACCATGTTAGAGTTACAACTAGGTTTAACCAGGGTGTCATTTCAAAAAAATATTGTTAACATTGAGCATCGGTATAACATTCCATTATATACCAACTTGCATGATATTGTTTCAAAGGCAGTGTATACAACACATAGGGAAGGAGCTGGAAAGGGTAAAATTTGTTGGTACAGACAAAGATATTTGTGCTTGCTTCATTAGAACTACACATGGGTTACCTTGTGTGTGTCAACTTGCTAGTTTTCAAATACAAGGCTTGCATGTTCCTTTAGAACCAATTCATGTTTTTTTGGAAGAAATTACACATTGAAGAGCATGCTAATGGTTATAACGATAGTGGCACAAAGTTGGATTTAGAAGTATAGTGTGAAAAGTTGAAGACATATTTCAATTCTTTGGATATTGTAGGCCACAAGGTGTTGAAGAAAAAGGTTCGGGAACTAACACATTCATCCACAACTTCTATGTGTCCACCGCCGGTGCAGTAAAAGCCAAAAAGGAGAGTTCAGAAGAGCAGAAAGGGTGAAGAGAGTGATGTGCATCGTGATTCCTCATAGTGGGAGTATGATGAGGACTTAGAGGGGAATCCGACTACAAAGAGATCATGAACGAAACCACTAGGAAGTCAATCTTCAAGTATGTCGGTTCAAAGTCAACTATCCACTTCATCTTTGAACCATCTTTACTTGTCTCGGTTTTTTTGGCCTATTGCAACTTTACTTGGATGGGGCGAAGAGTTATGGTCGTTGGTCCGGACGCAGTTAGATACTCAAGTTTGTCAACACCCAAAATTATTTTCCAAATTGTTCTATGACACGGTCTCTGAAGTCAGGAATTCCTTAAAACTAGAACACTTGAATGTGCAGAGTCGAGAAAAATGGATGATGATACCTGATATGGATTACCTTATTGCATGTCGGTACAATGTCGTATTTGTCTCCTTGTCACAAAAACTGAACATTACTCTTCTCTCTCTTACCATAGCTCCACCTATGTATACGAGCAGACATAAAATCATTGTTATTGGTTTTGTCAACGACAAACATTGGATTTAAGTAAAGTTGAAATCTGATAATCCATTGTCTCCCGTCACTGACCATTGAAGACAGAACTCTACTGAAGATGTAAAAGCATGGAAATCAGCATATGCAGGACGGACTAAGCACTGGAAGCATAAAGTTAGGAAGTCATCCTAATTTACTATGTAATCTTGTGGACAATATGTATTTATTATATGTGAAACCATTTATGCATGCCGATGTGTTGAAAATATTAAAATTATTTATTTTTTGAAAATTCTGGATGCATATCGGAAATTTAAAATTTTTGAAACTTTTGAACAAGTTACGTAGATTTCATATTTTTCCAGTATAACTTCATCGGACATTTTAAAATTTTCGATATTGACTATCAAAATTTTCAAAACTTTCGATGTCTCACAGAAACAATAAATTTTTTCAAATTTCCGGTATGATCACAAAGGTGTTAAGTTAAATGTTTAAATGCTCCAGTCACACTTATAATTTGTCTTTGAATCCACCCCTAGTCTCTACCTCTAGTGTTTCGCACAACCCTGTTGCCTTGTCTCTCCCTCAAGTTTGGCACAACCCTGTTGATGGTGCAAAGGAAAAAGGAAGACATGGAGAAGAAAAGATGAAGTTAGTGCTCGACAAAGATATGAGGTGGGGTGAGGGTGCGGAACAGATGGGATAGAGGAAAAGTCATTGCTATTGTATAAGACATAATCATAACCAAAGATTATAAACTAACCATAACCACAAGATATCAATTATATGCCTAAAGAATACTTTCTCAATAATAGATAAGCATTGATTAAAAGGCATAAACATAACAATCTATTTAAAAAAATGTGCTGCATAGCTTAATCAATGACAAATACTTTGTTCTCTTGCTAAATAAAATACATTGACCCACTAAAGAATAGAGGGCAATAAATTATATAATACAACAAAAAATTCAGCACAATTGCTTCATCCAATGTCTCTCCAAGGATCTAGAAGTTGAAACTCTTCAAATCTCTGGAAGAAGATTTAACTTGAACTTTGTTCTTTGACACTAACTATACTATATATGTAAATGTTTGATAATAATAGTAAATGTTCAAATTAATTAATAAAATAATAAATAAAAGAAACTGTCAGAATGACCAATGAAGCTTTGCTTTACCATGGTTGCAGCATTTCACTCATGCAACCATCTGCTCCTGCTCTATGTACAGCTGCTCCACCCATGGTGGAAGCATTTCTCTATTCAGATCGTACTGCTGTTGCTGCTGATGCTGTTGTTGCTGTCTCGTCTTCTCGAGACCGTACATGTTCGAATTCGAATTCT